TAATAGATCAAAACACTGATTCATTAAATTCCAGGGAGGCTTTTGAAAAAATCTGAAATTTCTTAGGTAAAAGGTTACATTTCACTAAAATGTTTAGATATACATCTATCTGGTTTCTCCAGTATATCTTTTGTTTGGGGTTTTTGCTACAGGGTGCTTGTGCTCACAGGAGAGAGAAAGTGAGAAATTACCCACAGGAGGATGGCTCCACCACCATCCCTTCTCCTTCATTTTCCTCCTGGGATTTTGGGCACACATGTACATGCACCAGGTGTGAGTTTCAAGCTGCCAGGTTTTAGACAGAAGTCTGACTACTTTTCCTATTTTCCAAAATCTTTTTAAAAGGGACTGGGAAAGTCATGCCCACAAACATTAATAGACTGTTTTTCATTAACAGGTTTCTTTTTATATCTTGTCCCTGGGATAGTATTTTTGAAATGTATATTTTACTGATTACAGTATATTTTTTTGCTTATTTCTTCCCAAGACACAGAACTTCCCTTTTCCTTAAGATGTAGATTAAGCCTTTTTTTAACTAATCTTTTCTCAAGACACAGCGTTTCCCTTCCAATTACTAATCTAAGAATTGCAGAACCCACTTATAACCTATAATCCCCTGCTTCCACATGTCCCGCCTTTTGGGGCCAGACCAATGGAAAATATCTTCACTAAATTTTGTCTGTCAATCTAAAATATGAAAGGAACCCCTGTACGTGATCAACCTGAGAAAGGCATGTATGCCTCTCCTCCGGGCCTAGGTCACTCATATTTGGCTTAGAAATAAACTGCATTAATTATTAATTATTAATTTTTACAGTTGGTTATTTTTCCATCAACAAGAACCAGGACTCGAACCACAGTTAGTCCTGTGGGAGTTGAGTGCCTTAACTACCACACAACCTGTTGGCCCCTCCCCAGTATATCTTAGATGGCATACTTATATAAATCTTGCTGTTTTCATCACCCCTCAGAGCACTGACACACATACACACTGATCGCTGTGTAAAGAAGTGGGAAAATACTGTCAAGACCAATATTAATGAAAATGACAGCTACAACTAAGATTTCTTTTCTTTTCTTTTTTGAAGTTTTCTATGGGATGTGTGTGCTTGTCAGAGAGAGACAGAGAAAAAGTGAGGGAAAGTGAGAAATCACAACCCCTGGAGCCTGGGAGGATGGCCATGTGCAATCCCTTCTCTAACATTTTCCTCTCTAGATTTTGGGCACATACACACACATATCTAACATGGTTTTCAAGCCACTGGGTCTGGGACTCAAACTGCACGGTCAGCCATGTGGGATCCAGCTGCCATAACTACCTCACCACAGACTGGCCCAAGATTTCATTTTAATGCAGTGGGATTTTTAAACCAAATTAAGTATCAGTGTATATTTATTTGTTGATAATAGCTCATAAGTTTCAGTAGCAAGAGTTTCTTCTGGAACTCACAAAGTAACTTAGGATGTGCCACTGAAAATTAGTGGGCTGACCCTATGGCCTAGTGGCCGATCCCACAGTTGGAGTCCTGGACCCACTGGCTTGGGAATCACACTGGACACCTGTGCATGTATACCTAAAATCCTGAAAGGAGGAAGAGTTAGAGGAGAAAAGATTGTGGCATGGCCATTCTACACTGGAGGAGGAGAGTGCTTTTTCTCCTCTCTGTCTCTCTCTAGCCAATGCACGTGCCTTCTAGCATTAAATGGATGGATAGATGATTGATAGAGAGAAATAGCAACAAAAGAAAGGCCCATCATGCAGAAAATTTATTTAGCTTGGCACACTGGACTACAAAACAAGTTTTGAAAGCCAAGCAACCTCTAAGACTTCTGTAAACACAGTCTTCGTTCAGAGGAAATAAATAAGTGCTTATTACCATCAGTGCACAGTGCTAGAATGACAGTGATCTGTGGCCAAATTTGAAATGATGAGATCCTGAAAAACTAAATAATAGCAACTGTCTTATCTTTTTACATTTAGTGTAATCTAGCTAATGGCTTTTATATGATTTTCCAAACTACTTAATGGAGTTTTTATTACTTAAAATAATTATCTTTCATAGCAAGCAAGACATAAAGAATCCAAATTTCCTCTGAGGAGTGAATAGTCTGAGGAATAAGTTTCTATCTGTTGGATCAGTCATTCCAGGAACTGGTCTACATACCAGGGCCAGTCCATAATAAAGTATTCATAGTGGAATTAAAAAAAAAAAAAGAAAAAAAGACAATGCCATAGCTTTGTTAGCTATAAAAAACTACACATATTTAATAAATAAAACTATCCTCTTACTCTCATGGTAATTGTAAATGGCAAATTGTAGATTTGGAAGGAGGATTTTTTTTAATTATTAAAAATTTTTTTTCCTTATTTGGGACAAAGAAAAATTGACTCCCTGATATTGACTTCTAAACTCCTTTTGAATTTTTTTTTTTGGAGAGGTTTTTGCTATAGGGCGCCTGCGCTTGCCAGACAGACAGAGACAGACATAGAGACAGAAAGCGAGAAATCACCCCCCAGGGGGTATGGTCATGCCACAATCCCTTCTCCTCCATTCTCCTCTCGGGATCTTGGGCACGCACGCACACGTGCCCGGCATAAGTTTTAAGCCACTGGGTCCAGGACGCGAACCGCAGTTGACTACGTGGGAGTCCAGCGACATAGCCATTACGCTAACTGCTGGTTCCTTTTGAATTTTTACTGACCTGTGAGAGAATGTGGAAAATCATTGCTTCCAGAGGCTAGTATTTCTCACCTTAGTTTTATCTGCCTGCCCTAACACACTGGAGTGGAAGGATGCACCCCATCCACCAGCACCTGAATAAGTGCTTGGTACTGGCTGGAATTTAGGCTCATGAAGGGAGAGAATGAGTGTAAAAGTGTCTGGGGGTCATATATACTGGAGGCCCCAGGTGGTTCTAATAGGCTGCCTTCCCCCAGGTGGCAGCATCCCCACCCCAAACCTAGCTAAGCTGAAAAGTCCTACTCGGTAATGATACATCAGGATATTTTAAGGGCTTAGAAAGGACCCAGATATGTCATTTATTAATTCACCATTTTGGAAGTTCAGGGCTGTTCCTGAACTTCTAAAAGGTGGGTAGGACTTCTGAGAGGGCAAGTCCTTCTGAAGTCCAGCAACCAATACCACACGAGTCTTCTTTATCTCTAACACCAATCCTTCGCCCTGGAATGTGAACATGTTGCTTTCTGTTGGTTTTTGTTTTAACTCTTCTAGGCCAAGCAGATTAGTTATCCCAAGTCATTGTTTCCTCAAGGAAAAATTGAAGAAATAAGGCCACGTTGTGACTAATGAGCAGGGAAGAAACCAATTCAGCTAAGAAACCCAACAGCATTTCCTTCCTTTTCTTTCTTTTTTAAAAAATAATTATTTATTTAATTGTATTTACTATTATTATTATTACTATTTTTAAAATTTGACTAGAGAGAGACATGGTGTGTGTTGGGGAGGGGGGTGAGAAAGCAAGCCACCAGGTCCAGAACTTGAAGCACAGTCTGCCACATGAGAGTGCAGCACCCTTAACTACCATGCCACCTGCCAGCCCCAAGATTCATAGCTTTTTACATATTGCAGATTATAGAGTTCTTCTTAAGTCTTGCTTGCCATGGAAGTTAAGTTCTTGTAATGGGTTTCAAAAACGTTTTGACTATACTCCACATTAGGAGAAACACTCAGCCCAGAATACATATAAGCGTCATAAGTTAGTATTTATTTTCACCAGATGTGATGCGCTTTGATTTCTTCCAATTTTTCAATATTATTTATTTCACTAGAAAAAGAAAAAGACCATATAGTTGGAGTCACTTTCTCACTTTCTCTCTCTCTCTCTCTCTCTCTCTCTCCCTCTCTGGTCAAAATAAAAAATAAATAAAGTTAAATAAAAAAAATGATTCTTAAAAAAAAATTCTATGAGTCTTACCTTGGTAATGAGCACAGAACCCTCCCTGCACCCACACCAGCTCAACATCCCCCTCAACAAACCCAAAAGGTGTTCATCCTTGGCACTGAGCCCCTGTGTTGTGTCCTCCAAGCAATCTGCCTTGACTGCCGTGTAGACATAGGCCTCTGGCCTTCCTGTGGGCTTCCCTGGTCCTTGGGACAGCGTTTTACACGGTGCTCATCATACTGCGTTGTGACTGCTCATCTCCCCAGCAAGCCCCGCCTCTTCTTCAATGCTGTCAGCACATAGGAGAGGAACAGGAACGAAAAGAGGAAGGAAAGAAGGAAGGAAGGAGGACATAAAGGATAGAAGAGTTGTATTTGATTAAAGGAGTAGTTCTCAGACCTGGCTCACATCAGCATCTCCTGGAAGCTTTCAAATAGCTCAGTAAAGGGGCCAGCAGGTGGCATAATAGTTAATGCATTGGACTCCCACATGGTCAAACGTGGTTTGAGTCCTGGACCTGATGGCTTATGTTCTCTCTCTTTCTCTGTCTCTCTCTGGTGAGCATGTGTATCTTACAGCAAATTAAAAGATAAAATAATAATAAATAAAATTAAGTAAATAATTACTTTTATTTGAAGAAAGCTCAATACAAAGACTACGCTAAGACTATCAGAGCACACTTACCATTAGCAGACACGAGGCAGCAGTCTCCTGAAAGTTCCCCAGAGGGGAGGCCAGCCTCAGAGCACAATGGTTAGGTGTTGGGCAGAGACAGCCTAATCCCACATGGCTGATCTGACTGCCGGTCGAGTCCCAGGCAGGCTTGGGCCCAGGATCCTAATAGGATGCAGCATTGGAGGGAAAAGGATTGCAGCGTGACCAAACCCCCTGTTGAAAGATTCTCTCTCTCTCTCTCTCTCTCTCTCTCTCTTTCTCTCATGCCATCTGGCAATGGAAGGAGGAGGAATTGTCTAAGTTAAAATCTTTGAAAATAAATAAAGCCCCCCAAGGGAAGTTCAACGTACACAAAAAAGTTGAGAGCCACTGGAGACCAGGTCTAGGAGGGCCTTGTGAAAATGTAGCTTCTGTCTCCCTAGGTCTGGAGTGGGGTGTAGATTCCAGGCAATGCTGAAGCTGGTGGTCCGCAGACCACACGCCAAAGAATGAGGGACACTCGAGGACACTCATTGTTCACCTCATGGACACTCTGGCAACATAGTGAACCAGACCTGGAAGACAGCAAGGGCCATGACGAGGTATGTGATTTCTGGAATACACTGCCTGGCACGTTTCTTACTAGCTATGTGACTGGGTTAGTAATTTATCCTCCATCTGATAACAGAACTATAACCGTAGCTAGTGCATAGGATGCTTATGAGGACTGAGTAGCAGATCACATAAACACCCCCTGCATGCCTGTGAGTTACTAGCATTATTTTATGATACATTGCAACTTCACCACTTATTAGCTTTGTGCCCTCGGTAAGTTAATTGACTTCTCTGCACTTCCATTTTCTCAAATATAAAATGGGGAGTCATAGAAAAATCAGTGTCTTACAAGATTGGGAGGATAGAACAATATGAAAATACTCAGCACAGTATTTAACCCAGGTAGGTGCTCAATAAGTGGTTCTTGTTCTAGTCTCTGTTGTGGCCAATGAGAGAAAATACCTGGTACCGGGTGACTTATCCACACAGAAGTTTATTTGAATCCTGATTTGGAGATCCAAGGTCCAGCAGCCACATCCTGAGGGCATCTGGCAGAGTCCCAAGCACATTGCAAGGGCACGAGTAGAACGACTGTCCACGAGTCTCTCTGTTCTGGTCTCCTTCCCTCTTCTAATAGCTCCTCCAGAACTCAGTCATGGAGTTCAGGCCTCACGGTAATCACTTCGTCGCTCACCAGGCCCCACTTTCACCACCATAACTGAATTGTTCACCTCTTAATCCTGTTACAGGGGCTCACCACGTGAATTTTGGGGACATACAGATCATAGCATTCCTCAAGTTAGTTCCATCTGCATTTGGATAACTCCAAGGCTTATCCCTCTCATAGGTCTATTCCCTATTTACCATCTCCCGGATCTCAGCGTCTTCTCCTGCCCCTGCTCCCACAGGCTATGGGGCTCGGTGGCAGGGCGGGAGGCCTCTCTCACTCTATTCCAACATGTACACTTCAAGAGCAGGACTTGTTTTTATCACCCTGCTGACTTCACATGGGTAAGTTTTGGCAGCAACAATTATTCTCTTTATTACTCCACAGATGAAGAAGAAATAGACTTGGCTCTGACATGTTGGGTTTTCTCAAGCAAGTCCCATATGGAAGATAAAGCTTTTAATCCTAATCAGAGCCGGCTGAAAATCCTCCTGGCTTCGTGCTTCTTTAAAGCCTTTCTTTCAAAATGCCTTGAGGACTCGCAGTGTGTCAGATGTTGGACCAGATTCAAAGTGGAAGCATGACAAACGTTTGAATGAATTACTGCTGATCACTGGAGAGGGGGCACTACGGAGGGGGAGGAGATGCCTGACAGACAGCCTTGGGAGTGCACAGAGTGTGCAGCTTCACACACAGGTGCTGTTTTGTCTGAGCAGTGAAGGTTCAGGAGGAGCCGAGCGGTGGGGAACGGGAGAAGAACAAACAACGTGGACAAGGACCGTTAAGTGGGGAGCTGGTTGTGGGTCTGGAGAATAGCAGTTACAGAGTCAAAGAAGATGGAGCTAGCACGTTAGCTTGGGGCCAGGTGGTAAGCCCAGTCGAGGAACTCCAATTTCATTTTTCCCACTAGCCATGGTAGGATGACCACATAATTCATCATCCAAACAGGTTCTTTTTATTTTTTATTTTTTTATTTTTTTGGAGAGGTTTTTTGCTATAGGGCACGTGCGCTTGCCAGACAGACAGAGACAGAGAGACAAAAAGTGAGAAATCACCCCCCAGGGGGAATGGCCACTCTGCAATCCCTTCTCCTCCATTCTCCTCTTGGGATCTTGGGCATGCATGCACACGCACCCGGCGTGAGTTTAAGCCGCCGAGTCCGGGATTCGAACCGCAGTCTACGTGGGAGTCCAGCGACATAGCCATTGCTAACTGCTGGTTCCCAAACAGGTTCTTTTTGACAATGAGTGGCATGCTAACCAGTTAGGCTAACAGCACATCTTTTTGACAATGAATGGCATGCTAACCAGTTAGGCTAACAGCACATCCAACAGCAGACGGCACTGTTCCAAGCCTACAGGGGTGTAAAGTGACCCTGGCTTGGGAACCTCCAAGGCCTGACACTGATCAGATCTGTATGTTAAGCGGGCAATTCTGGCAGCAATGTGGATTGGAAAGGTATGGGGACAGCTAGGAAGGCAGTGTGGATGGAGAGAGGTGATGTCTAGGAACGGTGTTGTTAGAAATAAAATAAATTGGACAGAGAGCGGGGAATCATTAATACTGACTCAGCATTTCCAGGCTGTGTGCTATGGGACTAGAGAAGACAAGAGAAGCGAGTGTGTACAGTATGAGGCATGTTGGGTTGGGTATCAGGATCCGGTAAGCTCTGGGAACTAGAGCCATGGCTCTCACAGGTGAGGGTTGGAGACACTCATTAGTCATTGAGGTACTAGGGGAAGTTGTGAAACAAGGGAGGGAGCATGAAGAGGGAGAAAACTCAACATCTAAGGTGGTCTTCGAGGAAATGGCAAGGAGCTGGTGGAAGAAGAGGAGCCAGGGAAGGAAGAAACGGAGTCCGAATTGGAGGAGGAAAAGCCAGGAGGCTATGGAAGGGAGGGAACGTTTGGGAATGCAGATCAATCTTCAACACTGTCCAAAGTAGCAAACAGAGAATAAAGAAAGCGGACATCATTCTTGAGCGGGCAGCCCTTGTGACTCAGTGGATCTGATCCAAGCGGTGGAGATGGATAGCAGGCCGCTGCATGCCGCAGGCCGAGTGGGAATGAGGACTAGCCACAACACAGCCCCCTCTTCCCAGAGGTCAGCCGCCTCGGCCAGGAGAGGGACTCACACCAGCTGGATGGGGAGGCAAGGTTTCTCTGCGTTGTTTCCCTCATGCTGTTGACTTCTAAGTCTTGTGTGAACGTGTGGTTATAAAATTTAAGTAAAAGGCAGCTGAATGTTCCCAGTCCCCTGGGTCTCACTTCGTAGGCTTGAGAGCTAAACCTGAAGTGCTTTTCAGTCATGAGAACTGAGCCAGATGATGGTAGCTTTAAGCAATTACACCGAGAGTATTTTCCAGCCCCCAGCCCTGATAACATGTACTCACACACGACTTGGCAATGGCCCGGTAGGACGTGCCGATGTACATGCAATGCCTTTTGCACCTTAGTGTTGTAGGCTGCTGTTGCTCAGGCCAGGATGAACATGGCTATTCTAAATTGTGCAAAGATCAGTTAAAATAATTTTATGTAATGAGTACTCCTGCGTCTGTCTGTAAGACCCAAACTGGCTGAATCAGTGCCTTAGAGCCTACAGTAAGCAGTGACTGCAAAAACAAGGCAAGGTGGGGCCGCTGGCACTCTCTAGGCCTTCTCTGGCCTTGGTCTACAGATATGCAGATCATGGGGCTGGTCTTCATAGTGGGTTGTTAGGAGAGGGAATGAGGCTGGAGCAGAGACTTGGACTGTGTCTGGGACCAGGAGTGTTTACCTCTGCTTTCTGCCATGTTGTGACCAACACAAAGACCCTCACCAGATGTGGCCCCTGAACCTTGGACCTCCAAACTGTGAGGTGAATAAACCTCTATTCTTTTAAAATTACTCAGACTCAGGTATTTCTCTTACAGACAACGCAGTGGACAAGAATATACGAGATTGTGAAATACAGATGTGGTCTTTGTCTGGTTTCCTGGTATCTAGTTAAAACCCTTGGAATCTTTAAGATGAGAAATGTCTTTTCGTACATGAATGGACTGGATGATGGCCGGCAACTCCTAGGTAGCCTCAGGATGGAAGCTGGTCACTTGAAAGACCAAGGCAGGATTAAAGGGTTGGGATTTCCAGTCTCCAGGGAGGAAAGAAGGGCTGAAAGTTAAGCCGCTCACCAATGGCCCATGATTTAGTCAATCATGCGTAAGCTTCCATAAACACTCGGAAGGACAAGGTTCAGAGAGTTCATGGGTAACTGAATACAGTGAGGTTCCTAGAGAGTGGCATGCCCAGAAGGGGGTGGATGTCCCTTCCCACGAACTTCACCCTGTACATTTCTTTACCTGTATCCTTCGGTATATTCTTTATAATACACTGTGATTCCCCAAGTTCTGTGAGTGGCTCTAGCAAATTAATTGAACTATTGTAGATGGTGGGAGGGTGGGGTGAGAGGGGGCATTGGGAGAACCCTGCCTTCTAGCTGGTCAGTCAGAAGCACAGGTGAGAAAGCTCTGAGACTTGCAATTGGCATTGAAAGTGGGGGTGGGTAGTCTTGAGGACTAAGCCCTCAACCTGTCAGATCTGACACTCTCTCAAGGCAGATAGTGTTAGAATGGAATGGCATTAGGGGACAGCAGCTAGGGTTCTCTGCAGAACTAATAGGCTTTCTTGCTGGTACAGATAAATACCTACACATTAGGTCACAGAAGTCTTCTGTGTTTGATTGTTGAATGACAGTACAGTGTGGCAGGATGGCTTCTGTAATGTCCAGGTTCTTAATATGTCAGACAACGCATTGAATGAAACATGCCAATACTGAAAACAAAGGGTAGTTTATTAAATAAAAACAAAAGTACACTCCCAAGAGAAAAGAGTGGGCTTAGCATAAG